TTTACGTACTTTCTGTGTTAATTCATAATTTAATTATTGTTTGTGCGGCAAAGGCAATAAGATGTAAACATTAAGGACTATGGTATAATTTTAAACTTTTAAAATTTTCCCCATTTTTTTCCTTTTTTTAGGAATAAAAACTAAATTTATCTGGAATTTCTACTATTCAATTTAAGAAATAAAGCTATGTCCCCACAGGGACAATGGTGTTCAAAAAAAGAAATTAAATTGTCTCAATTAAAAAGTCCCCAGAGGCTTAGGATTGCTGTCAAACTTGCACTCATATCCTACTGTAAAGGAGGAAGATGGACCAGAGGAATTTACAAATGTGCTTCTCTATGTCAGGACCACATCAAGCTCCGAGCAAAATGAGAAGAAAACAAAAGGCAAGTCCTTCTAAACCTGCATAGTTGTTAGTATCTAAAAGTTCTGCTTACCATATTCTATAATACTAACATGTTTTGAGCGCTTTTCTGTAGGACAGAGGAGGAAAATCAACTTCATCTTTCAAATGATATGACTGCAGTGCAACCCTACAATCCAAAATGATAAGAATGATCATGGACATATTGTTCTAAGATAATCGCTCTTAATGCTAAAAGTGGAAATTCATTCGCTCTATTTAAATATGAAATTTATATGTGCTAGGACAATGCATTACCTTTCCTGGTCGTTCTCTAAAACTGATTCAGTCGCATCTGCTACTAATACCACAAGACTTGAAGTAGAATCACAAGTGCACGAAGTGTCCGAATACTGTGGAGAGTTATTTTCTAGCAACGACCCTTCTTGTTGGTGAATGCCCTGACAATCAGAATCACTTTCCTTTGATGGTTGAGAAAAGCCACTGGCATTGGAAGAACCCCAAACAGATGGCTGAGATAGCCGAACTTCTATTGGCATAGGCTTTCCATTCCCCAGATATGGGTACTCTGCCTCTGATAGCACATGACCATATTTAGAAGACTCTGTCTCTTGTGAAGTTGCAGCCAGACCATTATCATCAGTGTGTCCACAAAACTTACCATTTATTCGTGTGGTCCGGTTCTTCTCTGTTCTATTTGAATGATAACCCTACAAAAATTTTAGAAAACCATGAGAACTAGGGGCAAAGAAAGTGCATGACAAAATTTCAAACTTCAACTGAAAAGGAAACACTCATAAACACAATTGTAAATTAAAATACCATGTTGGGAATATAAGTTCCAGTTCCTCGATGTTGTTGCTTTTCTTCAAAATTGAAAGCAGAGCTACATGATGTTGAAGGTTTCAAAGGGAACCGTTGTTGTCCCAGAACACCTTTTCTCTTTGTAGAATAAGCATTCTCCTTCAACTGTAAGGACTGGGAGACAGTTCTCCATAGTTTTTTATTTTCAGATTGAGGTAGCATAGGAGGAGATAGTAGTATTGGAGCACAGACATCATAAGAATGACAGTACAGACCAAATAATACGCCCCTTAAGTGGCTCTTATAATCTCCACTAAGGTTTAACAATGATTTGAAAGATTGAGAGTTCTCAGAAATGCTAACAAAGGCTATTTCCCCAAGAGTAGAGGTTAGGTTCTCAGAGTTGTTATGGGCAAGAGTAGGAAGTAGTGAGCTAGAAGGAGATTCAACATCATGCTTCATACATGAACAAGCTGAATTGTTAATCACAAAATGATTCTCTTTTGATTCTGACCTTAAAATGCAGCTAATTTCACCATTAGTGACAAAATTTGGCTGTGCTTTCTCATCGGAGATTTCACTTTCAAATTTTGTATTTTCTCCACATGGGCGTGAAAAATTCAACTGAGAAGCATTATGAGATCTCCCACTAGGTTGATCATTACTGCAGCCAACAGTAGATCTCAAAAGTAATTTATCCTCAGAGCTTGTATCAGAGAGTGATGATGATGATAAATTATCAGAATTTGTAGCACTAGATACTAAGCAGGAATTTTGCACATGAGTCCAATCATTGCTTCCATGCCTATCCAAAGTACTTGCAAAGAACTTGTTGAGCTCATTGATCATTTTCTCATTCGATAATGAAAGAATCATGCCAAGCTTCCTTGCTCCATATTTGAAAGCACTCTGTATTCGGTAAAAATTACCTGCAGAAAACCATGATCATCATTGTTAAGAGATAGTATGAACATGGTACAAAAGATGTCATTTATTACATCCCACGGAAGCAAAACTTAGAAATAAAAAATAAGCCAATGTAGGAATTGAATGTTTCCTCTATTGTTTTCCTTTTGGGAGTAAAAAAGCATATTGCTAGCAAAGTAATATGGAAGGAAGCCAGCATCAAGAGTAAAAACAAAACTGATGAAGTAAAATCATATATTCTTTCCTGCACTTGCGTAAACAATTACCTTACCAAAAAAACAAATTTGCCTAACAAGGTCAGGACAGCCCTGAAATAGAGAACTCAAATATTTAATTGCAAAAATACCCTCATAATAGAATTTGGAATTACTGGCTAAACTAATTAAATTCTCCCAAAGCACCCAAAAGAATATCACTTTCAAGTTGAACATTTTCAGCAGAAGCATGGTAAACAATATGAATTCCAACTTCATCTAGGGCTTCAGAGTGCATCAGGTGACAGAGGCTCCAATGTATTTGTGTGGCAGTCAGGGTAATAATATTTAATGGTAGTGTAAAGATGACGATAATGAAAGAGCGGGCGGCAGAGGAAATCATAGTCTATAACATGAAGGAATACTGCTTTAAGTGGGAAGCATGGCACATTCATGAATGATGTCAGTTGTAATTCGAAAAGACAGAAAATTTCAACTTCAAAACAAGTAACTTTCTAAAATGTCAAAAAAAAAAAAAAAAAAAAAAAAATAAGTGTAAGATGACTTGATAATGAAAAGAGCCCGCGCAGAGGGATAATCATAAGTCATATAAACATGAAGAATACTGCTTTAAGTGGGCAATGCAGGCACATTCATGATGATTCAGTTGTTTAAATTCAGAAAGACAGATAAATTTCAACTTCAAACAAGTAACTTTCTAAACAATGTTAAAAAAAAAAAAAAAAAAAATAAAAAAAAAAAAAAAAGATAATTTCCATGCCAAGTAAAGGAAATCCATTTCTAAGGCTCAAGCGCACCAAGTTTCATCAATCTCTCTCTTCTTCCACCAGAATATATAATTACTTTGTGTTATTAAGAATAAAGAGTTCAAACCTCTGTTGCACACTATGCCGCCCAAGTTTGTTATCTTTCCTTTCAGAGGATCAACTAAAAAAAAAAAAAAAAAAAAAAAAAGATAATTTCCATGCAAGTAAAAGGAAATCCATTTCTAAGCTCAAGCGCACAAGTTCATACAACTCTCTCTTCTTCCACCAGAATATATATATTACTTTGTTTATAAGAATAAAGAGTTCAAAACCTCTGTTGACACTGCGCCCAAGGTTGTTATTTTCTTTCAGAGGATCAACTATGTTCAAATGCTTCTGAGGAAAAGGCCTCAAATTCATTTCAGGATTCCTTGATGGCACTGAGAACATATCCACACATTTTCTAAGAAATTCATCACTAAGCAACAATTTGTCCCTCCCACTTTCAGGTGGCTCAGCTGTAAAGAAAAGGAAGATCAATCAAACATGCAGCCATTAAGCCATCTAATGTCAAAAAAAAAAAAAAAAGAATAATATTTCTTACCAACAATGTTAGGCAAAGAAGATTTGCAAACTGGTCCACTTAAGCTAATGCAATAATTTTCCCAATCAAACTTGCTGAAGTATTCCAGAAATTTATATAGAACCTGCGCAGTATGAATATAACTCATGGGTGCATTGTGTAGACACTAGAGAGCAATATTAATCTCCTAGATACATTGTACAAATATGTCAACATTGATCTTATGTATGTATTACAGCATAATACTTACTGCCAAAGGCCCTTTTAGGGAAGAGTGAAATACATGGAAGATGTATAAAACAAGTGTTTCCAAAGCATATGTGGAAATTAAACTATGATGGGCACCAAGAATACGGCTCTCATAATAGCACCAAGCTTTTATGAGAATGATGCTGCGCTTGAAGAGATGATTTTTACCAACAATCTGATCAATCTGCAAAACAAGTTGTATCAGAAATGCAAACTTATAAAAGGAAAAACTTTAATCAAATTTATTCTCCATAATGATATTTGGGCTTGACTCAATTTGCAAATAGGTAATAATCAAAATTTTATTTTTTATAAATTAATTCCAAATCATTCAGGTACAAAATCCAAAACATACCTGTTCAAGAAAACAGAGGGTAGAAAGTCCTCCTAATTGATTGAAAGATATATCTACCACCATGTTTTGTACAATGCATTTTATAAGCTTAACCTGCTAGCATAAACCCATAATTAGTTAGAAAAAGAGGGAAAAATGAAGTGATAAACCTCATAATCAGAGTAATCGAACCTCAGCATCAATGCAATAGATATCCTTCACTTCATATGGAATATCCTTACTCTGCTCTTCTCGTTTCAAAACAGCGTGAAAATCAGAGAATAATGCCCCCTCAGCAGCTAGACTGCTAATGGCAGTCAAATCAATATCTCCATCTGGGAGGTATGTCTTTAATGGAACTGACCCATATGGAAAAACCTGTAAGGAAGGAGAGGGGGACAATTGGAATTTCAGAAGTTTTAGTAAATCAAGATGTGATGCCTCTATATTTCTTGCTCCCATATAGAATATGTTGCAAAATCGCAGCAAACGATTTCAACTGGACAAAATATCGTGTTCTTGGATTACTATATGTGATCTTTCAAAAAATTTCGATGAAATATTTTAATGCCATTTGAAGCGACTATAACCCATAGGATGGTGATTAGCATTCATAACAATTAAGAAATTAAGAAATATTACAAACATTTATGTTAACTAAAAATTAAATTCGATTGACCTAAATTTAAACCATCATTACCAAAATCAAGATCATAATTGACGCTTAGTAACTAGTAAAGTTGCACGATCAAGGGATACGAATGCTCAAACTGGACAAAACAAATATTCAATCCAGTAAAGCCACAATCAGCAAAAAAGTTAAATTATTTTAATTCTATCTTCCTTCACCAAATTATTATTTGTCGGATTGCTCCAAATATTCCAACATCTATTTTCCTTTCAGTTTAGCAACCCCCTAAAATGCTACAAACTTTTCTGCAACAACTCATCTTCAAGAACATGTTTTCTATTGCTCCTTCACTTTATAATCACTGATCGATCAAATGAATGCACAAGAAGCTTCTGTATATGCTATTCACTGTTCAGTATCCATTCTCAAACATTTAGAGGCACTATACCAGCAAGTTCAGCTCTAAGCACCTAAGTTCATAATTATCTACCCATAGCAAGCTTAAAAAAAAAAAAATCTCATCTCAAATTTAGTAACAGATAAAAGAATCCTCAATTTAAAACAATTTTTTAAAAACCAAAAAAAGGAAGGCGAAGGGTGTAGGTGATTATTATAACCTCAACTCCAAGGGAAGATTTAAGAAGACCCTGCATATACTCCACAACCTTCCTTCTCTTACAATCCGCATCAACAGTCGGATGAATTCTACATAATATATCCCTTATAACTGCCTCTGCTCTCTCCCAGTTCTCCTCTGTAATCGGTGCAGGATCCGACGTCGATACCACCACTGGTATTTGCCCCGAACCCAAACACAAGTGATGATTCTCCCTATTCAGAATGCTATCGTTTTCACTAGGTAAACAACACATTCTAACATCACCGATCATCATGGCAGCGAAAACGAAAACGGGGAGAGCAAGGGAATGTCAAAACCAAAGAGAGAAAAGGAAATGACGTTGTTTTAATGAGAGAAGACAGACACTCAGACAGGCGGTTCTTTGTGGAACATTATTGGTATCATCATTTCCTTCATAATACTACAATTACGCAGAAAGAAAGGGAAGGAAAAGAACAAAAAAAGAAAAGAAAAGAAAAAAGGTTTGATCTTTGTGTTGTCTGGTTTGTCAAAGGGAGGGAAGGGAAGGAGAGAAGGAGGAAAAATGTTCAATGGAACTTTTTTTTTCCTTCCATTTTCCAAAACCTCCCCAGAGACCCTCTCTTTGCAAATAATTATTACAAACAAAATAAGGAAAATGGACCTGTTCGCAGAGGAAGAATTCTTATCTTTATATACGACGACGTTGATTTCTCATATCAATAAACGAACCATGTGTCTGATTATTCAACGCCGTCGTTTTCATTCTTTCATTTAATTCTCATTGATATTTTTGTCAACTATATCTAAAACGGATTTTCTCCAAGAACTATTTAGGAAGGAAACCTTATATTGATAGGGTTTCCTGCAAAGAAATTTATGTTTTTTTCTCTTTTTTTTATATTTCTACATAACCCTAATATATTTACTATTTTCTGTTCCTCTATCTACAACGGCTTTCCATATATGGTTTAGCATTTTGACTTTAATTAAAATATTATATTTATTATTTATAGTATTCTGTGACGTGTTTAAAATTTGAGTAAACAACCTTTCAACATTTGATGATACAGACAGCTGTTGGAGTAACTAATTTTATCGAAAAAATACTTATATATTACAAATTAAAAAGTACTATTAAAAATATAGTAATTGTCCTATGAAAACACATTATCTTTCTCATCCTCTTATAGGAATGTGTTCGTGGCTATTACATGATATAGTTAGTGAAACTCATCCTAGATTATGCATATAGTCTTTACAGCTTTGCTTGCCTTCTTTAGCAGAAAAAAAAAAAAATAAATTACATCTAATTTACTAAATAAATTTGGTAGAATAAATAATAAAATAAGGACCAAAAAGCAATTAGAAAAATGATCAAAATGTAAATATCATAAATATAGTAGAGATTTTTTTTTTTTTCACCATATTTCATGATAGTTGGCAAGTGGTTACATTGTTTAGCTATAAAAAGGAACCTAATACATCAAGCGTCAATTACTCCATATAAGAAACATCATCAATTACATACCTAAAGTATATTTTTCTAAATCTATTAATAGCTGCGGTGAGCATAAAACAATACTTCAGTTGTGTTTGACAATAGTTTTTTAAGTAGTTTTTAATATTTTGACTGTTTAAAACGCTAAATGCTACTTTTTATAATTTTCAGTAACTACTAGTTTTTATATGTTAAGGTAACGTTTTGTGAAAAATTAACCGATGATGTTTAATTAAATAGCTAACATCTACCAAAACAGTTAATTTTACCGATAAGACCCTTCATCTTTAACTATTTATTTTTTAAAAAAAATCAAAGTTGCTCTTTCTCAATGAATATTTTTTTTTTTTAACACAACTGAAAATTTAATTTAAGAAGAATTTATTTTTTGAAAAAAAAATTAGGAAGAATTACTTTACAAATTAATATCTAACTAATTTATAGTCAAATCCATAAAGATAGTTTCAATTTTTTGACTTGTGTAAAATCATTCTATTTGATCTTTGTATGTATGACACTCCTTTTGAAACTTAGATATTAAAGGTTTAACATCCAAAAATACATTTAGGCTTCGGATTTAAAATAAAAAATATTTTAGTGGCCCTCCTATGTAAACCTTGGTTAACAACTCATGACCTCTAGTACGTACCAAATGTGCAGTGACTTTAATGTTTAATGTAATATCAATATGGTATTAAAAGCTTCGATATTTAACCCTAGTTAACCCTAAATTGACTTAAATTACAAAAACATTATGAACTATTAGACTTTTTGTAAACTCATCCTAAAATGACATTTGTATCTCGAGTATCCATTTAGAAATTTAGATATGTCGGCATCTTGGTTTTAAAATCAGACCATGAAAAGAAACTAAATGAAATTTAATATGGGATCCACAACTTGACCATGGTTAGTTTAATATAACTAAGCCAAAAATCAGCATTTCACTTTAATTTTGGCAATCCCAGATAAAATTAATTTTATTTTTTTATCCAATAAAATTCAAATCTTTAAAGATATTTTTATCAACTTATAAATTTAGCAGTATTTTTTTTAGCAATCGTAATATTCCTTTTGCCGTTCCCACTTTTAAAAATAATAATTAGTTTTTCTCAAATATGTGTTTGAATTTATTGACTTTTCTGTTGTCGCAAGTAAAAATAATTTAATTTATATAAATAATTTTCTACTAATTTATATATATATATTGTACTTATTTTTTAATTATAAATTATAATATTATAAATAATTTATGAAATTTAATAGGGGCATCACAACCTTGACCATGGTTTAGTTTAATATTAAACTAAGGCCAAAAAAATCAGGCATTTCACTTTAATTTGTGGCAATTCCCAGATAAAATTAATTTTATTTTTTTTATCCAATAAGACATCTCAAATCTCTTAAAGATATTTTTCATCAAACTTATAATAAGCCTTAGCTAGTATTTTTTTTAGCAATCGTTTAATATTCCTTTTGCCGTTCGCCCCACTTTTAAAAATAATAATTAGTTTTTTTCTCAAATATGTGTTTTGGAAATTTATGACACTTTCTGTGTGTCGCCAAAGTTAAAATAATAATTTAATTCCTATATAAATTAAATCCTCTAACTAATTTACATATATATATTGTACTTATTTTTTAAATTATAAAATTATAATATTATAAATAGTAATATTATAAATAATTTATATTACTAAAATTCTAAGAGCATTCACAAAAAGAACAATTTATAAAATAATAAAATTAAATATGCACTAATTAAATATTTTATTAAGAAAAGAAGTAATAATAAAATATTATTGTAATTTAACAACTAAATTTTTATGGAAATAAAATTACCTATCAACCAATTTAAGTTTTCTTATAATAATTTAAACTTAATTGACTTAATTTTTTTTAATGTATAATATAGTATTATAAACTATCTATTATTAAAACATAAGAAATCATTATTAGCTATTATAAAGATTAATATAATTAATATATTAATCATTATTTTAGAGCATCGTTTATAATATATTAATCACATTGTTTATTATTATTATTATTATTATTATTATTACCTGCTATATATAATCTAATGTCCATTTATTTTTATTCAAAATATACAAAGGCATTAAATTTTTTGAATCTCTATTAAAATCTCCGTCTAATCATTATTTTAGAGCATCGTTTATAATATATTAATCACATTGTTTATTATTATTATTATTATTATTATTATTACCCTAGCTATATAAATCTAATGCCATTTATTTATTCAAAATATACAAGCATTAATTTTTTATCTCTATTAAAATTCTCTGCTTTTAGCATTATTTATTTACTATAATATATGTATATTATATTTTTTTCAATCGATTGTATAAATAATAATCAATAGTTATTGTAATTTTGAAATTTAAAAATAAGTGGGAAGTAGTTCTAATTATTGTCTCAAATTTTGGATTTTCAGAATTTTTATTATTAACTAAATCTTTAATAGCTTAGTAAGTGAGAGATTTGATTATTGGAAGAAATTTTACATCATGACCGAAAAGAAAAGAGAATAATTTTAGGGGAAAAAAAAACAGTTTTGAAAAAAATAATTAACCAAAAACTAAAAACAAACAGCTATAACACATGGAGCAAAACCATCGAACAATTTTTTTTTTTTTTTTAATTCAATTCAGTTTCCATACTATTATATTCTAGTGAACTAAACAAGGTTTAAAATTTTGAATTGTTTGGCAAGCTGTATTGGGCTCTATATTTAGACTGGAATGATTGGGCCACATATAGGCCCAGTAGAAAGCTGATCAGCCTTGTTTAAGCCCAACCCGAACTACTGAGTGAACATGTCTAAGCTCTATAGGGGAGCGTCTCCAAACAGTAAACAGTTCTAGGGAAAAACAGGGAACACTTATGCTGTTCGGCGGCAATAATCTTTTAAATCAGGTTAAATGATTAAGATAGCATTTCATAAAAAAATTAACTATGCAAACAATTAATAATTACACGCTACTAAAACACATAACTACCAAAACAGTTGATTTTGCCGAACAATCCTTTAAACACATAACAATAATATATTACCAGAAAGAAACAATAAAGAAACTTTTTTTTTTTTTCTAATATTTGAGAGCAAAAGTATACATTTAACGAATAAAAATTCTATCATCCCCCTGCCATGCCTGATTCATACAAAACTAATAACCAAAAATGCTATATAATTGGACAATTTCCTTAACTTTTAATTGAAGTAACAATCTAAGAATACCCCAACTGCTCTTACCCGATACATCACATGGAAACCCCTTAGCCAGCAACATCTTCATCGCTGAAACAGATTCGTCTACTGATATTACTCTAGGAATGAATTTATAAAAATTTTTAAGTCTTATGCATGAAGATCCTTGTTGGAATTCCATACAGGAGATTTCTGAACAACGCCATCAGCTAATATTCCACTTCCATTTTCCACACCAATCAGAGGATCGGATTCGGTTTCCTTGACCTATATAAACACACAGAATGAGAATGAAAATATCTGAAAGCACTATACGGGAATAGCACGCCCAATGCGAAGTGCTAACACCCTCTACTCTACATGTGCCACAAGGAAAATATTAATTACCTCAGGTAATTTTGTTGAAGCTTCGCTAGCCTTCTGCTGGCTCTCAACAGTGCAATAATAAGAATACAGTACCATCCCAATTACTGCAATGAGGATCCCTAAAATGTTGCGCCAGCTAAAAGGGTCACGAAGTAGAACATAGCCAAAGGCCAAAACTAAGCATGTTTTCAGATGCCCTAGGACCTGATAGGTGACTGGAGAAGTCTTTCCAATTACCATAAATGTACTGAAGTTCACAGAGACAGATATCAAGCAGGATAGAACAATGAAGAACTGCCACCACATAATCCATATAATAGATATATTAGAAGCAAGAAAATACCGAAGAAAGAGTTCAGGAATTACTAAATATGAGACTATTATACAAAATGGAGGTAGGGGGTTCAGGAATATTTTCTTACCAGCACTTGAGGAGTGTATTTGAAAGCAAAAACATTTTGATTAGTTAGCAGACCATCTAGAAATGGACCAATAATGAACAGAGTTATTGCTTGATAGGGACAAGATTGATATAGAAGCTGGGTGGAAGAGACTTTGAACTTCTTTTGAATTGTATTGGTCATCTGAAATAACTGGTTAAGATTTACAACTTCAAAGGATGCAGCAGACAGAAAGGAGCAAGCAAACAAACTAAAATTTGCATAGTAGAAATGTTGGCCTGCAGAATAATAATGACATATATTTTTCTTTGCTTTTGGCAAATACTGGCATGTTCAAATGAATAGAAACAGTATAAAATAAGCAGAAAAGTGTTTTAACTAAGGATACAATCTGAGCAACGCATGTCGTAATTACTGCAAGCAGAGACAAGACAGAACCGAGGACATTCAGTTGAAGATCAGTTACAGTTGCAATTCCAACCCCCACAAGAAGGATCATCAGTGAAAGCTGAATATTCCGACTGCAAATAATGCAATTATTAGCACATATACTTATCCAGGTAGACTTTTTTTGAGAAGAATAGCTTAACGAAAATGGAACTTGTCCTCGATTAACAACAAAACTGTATGGCATGGTAAATTTTGATGACTAAGCAGTACATTTAGATTACTTGGAACACATTTTATTGCCAAAGGGAAATGAAAATGATCAATGCATATGTATTTGTAAGATCTCTAATTGAGACAAGAAATGGTCACAAAAGTAAACATTTGCTCTAGAAATAAGACAGAAACACAGCATGCCCAAGAAAAAGAGATCATAATAATATTATTTCATATACCATGAGAACAACAAATACATGATTGATGCATCTCTTTTTCTAGTAAGAGGTCAATTGGAAAAAAACAAGCATGTAAAGAATCTTTAGATGATGTCAATTATGGAAATTAGTCACTGTAAATTTCGGAGAAATTTCACTTTCTGGAGAACAAAATATTAGGAGGAATTTGGTAAGAGGTCCTATCAGATGTACATGCCTTCAAGCATGGTCTCCTTCTTACATTTATCCTTTATCTAGTTTAGCACAACAATCACTTCAAATCGGTACGAAATAAATTCAACTCCAAAAACCTGCACATTTAAGTGCTTGACTTAACCATGGAAAGTGACACCATTATACACCTGAAATAATAATGATGTACTCATTAAATGAAGTTTAGAAGCACCAATAAGACACACCTGAATTTCTTCCTGAAGAAAAGTGTCTCCAAGAGGACAGTACATGGGATGATCGCCAATTTTGTCATCTAAAAATAAGCGCAAATAAATTTCAGTGTCATGCACCTAACAGCTTATAAAGCAAAAAACCTATATATACAGTTATCTGAGCAGCACATAAAAACAAATTTGTTGGAGGGGGAACCTCCACAAAATATGGTTTTACTTTTAGTTGATATGATCATTCATAATATCGCAAAAGCCAAACAGAGTGTCTTTATTTTATACTTGATTAGTACATTGTGGTCATCAGGCAGAATTTGGAAATCAAAATGAGCCACTGGGCCTCATTTAAGCCCAAAAGCATATATTATATATACGCACTTTTTACAGTTTCAAAAACCACAAACAACATGTTTCCGGAGACAAAAGATGAACTGAAAATGCATATCAAGCCTTCAACGCCATCATGTAGTTATCATAGAAAAATTAAATCAAATTACATAATCATTGAAGTAAGCAAGTTAGGAAACAAAATTCTTGATCATATTTAGGGTTGAAAGAAGAGAATTTCTTTTACCTGGTAGAAGCCAACTGAATTAAACCCCAAGCTAAGATTCAAAAGCCCAATGGATATCCCATTTAAAATGCCAAATCCCATTACAGCTCTTGCATCAAAAGGCTTGTGTTCAAACAATTTCATCCATAGTGCCACATGAAGAGAACAAAATGTTACCAGCAGATGCCAGCTTGTCAATGTTGTGGCTGTATCCCCGTAAAACACCAATAGGCCATAACATCAGTACTATAATCACTAAAGATAGAATTAAAAAGGCCAAAATGTAAAGCAATAAAACATAAAGTTATTACTGTGCATAGAAAAAATCAGTAGCTGCTTGCTTCCTATCACTGCATTAACCCCTTTACTATCACTGCCACCAAGTTCAGCCCACAATTCTATGCAACATCATGGTCTTACAGGTGAAAAAGGAATATTATCCACCCACTCATACGCCTGAGTTGGTTTTCATTTTTGGTTTCTAATTACATTCAATTCCAATAAATCGGCATGGAATCAAAATTTACTTTGATTGATAATGACTGATATAAACACCATTAATCCATAAGCATGTACATGCCTATGCAAGAGAGTATTGACCTTAAAATAGAAAAATAATTCATATTTTTCAAATTGGACAGTTATTAAGAAGCTATGATCCCAAATGCAAAATCCAAAAAAGATCTAAAAGAATTCAACCAAAACAAAAAAAAAAAAAAAAAAAAGCATGTAACAGTGCCCTAATGCAAGAGAGTATTGGACCTTAAAAATAGAAACAATAACTTCATAATTTTTCAAAATTGGACCAAGTTATTAAAGAAAGCTAATGATTCCCCAAATGCAAAATCCCAAAAAAGATCTAAAAGAATTCAACCAAACAAAAAAAAAAAAAAAAAAAAAAAAAAAAAAAAAAAAGAATACACAGATACCAACTGATCTATTAGCACTAATCCCTATCTGCTTGAAATAATTTCAATAAAACCAAAATATAACAAATGAAGAGTACCAAATACATCGCATCTGGTGAAACTGGAAGACTCAAAAGGGAAAAGGGTTTAATATATTACTTACCGAAAGTGAAACCGAGTGTACTAATGAGAGCTTTGTTGCATATCACAATAGACACCGACGATACCACTGATAGACTCAAAGCCCCTACTGTCCCTAGCTGGAATCTCTGGCTCTCACTCATGTTTCACTCTCTCCGTCACTTCTATATTTCCTTCAATTCACACCCACTCTTCGATCCGGATCTACCAATTCCAATTTTCGACAGAAATTTAAAATTTTAAAAACAACTAAAAAAAGGAAAATTCCATAAATATGAGATAGAAATGTGGAAATCCGTACCTCATTCAGGTCATGAGCTCCTTTGAGATACTTGATGACGATGACGGTCAAGCTAGAAGGAGGAAAAGAGAGATTCGAAATTGAGAGAGAGAGAGAGAGAGAGAGAGCGCGAGAAAACGAGAGAAAATTAGGAATGAAATGACAGAAAATTAAACGCTGTTTTGCTGTTTGATTTGGGGAGATTTTTGACCCGAAAGGAAGATGGCCCACCGTTTATTGCGGGGATCAAATGAAATTAATATAAAGTTGAGGGCCAAGAACCAATTAGTAAATTTTTTTTTTTTTTTAATTTTTTTTTTTTTTTTTTTTTTTTGTTACCAAATGAACGTAGCTCTTAAGTAATAGCATCATTAAAAAAATATTAATATTATAATTGGTAGACTAACAACTATACAAATGACATATTAATGCTCCCTTGTAGTACCAAAAAAAAACTATAAAAATGATATATATGTAAACTTGTTGGGTATCTATTTTATATATATATAAATGGTTAAATTATTAAAAAAATCCTAAATTTTACGGATAGTTTTAATTATACTCTAAATCCAACTTTCTTCTCCTGATATTCTGAATTTCAATTTTAGTTATAATAGTACCTTAATTTTAGATTGTACCCAATTTAATAAATAAAATATTATTTTCCTTGAATTTATATAGTCAATTTAACCAAAAATTCAACATTTATGCCCTCACTAATATTGGTTAAATTTGTTTTAAAAAAATTCATAAAAAACCAAATAAGATAATAATTTTTAGTTAATTATAAACCTAAAATATTAGTTTAGATTTTTGTTTTCTCATTTTAAGTATGAAATTTTAATTAGAGTTTATTAATTATATTTAAGTTATATTTCTTATAAAATAAATTTTATTAATTACGGTATAATTTTATTTTTAGGTAAGCGTTACTTATTGTCATTATTATATTACTAAATAAAAAGTATTTTATTTTTAAGATGAATATATTTATTTTTATTTTAATATTCGGAGCAATTTGAAATTAAAGTGTTATTATAACTAAAATTGAAGTTCAAAGTACTAAAAGAAGAAAATTGAATTTGAAATATATAATTAAAACTACCTTCAAAGTTTAAGTTTTTTTAATGATTTAACTTATATAAGTCGGTATCTATTTATTTGTTGTAATAATTATAACTCGTGAAATCTAATAATGTCTATCTATGGAATTTCATCTTTTTAAGAAAGTTAAAGAATTAATATTGGGTAATAATAATTATAATTTGTAATCTATTTATATATACACATAATCTATTATATCTTAATAAACATCTATTTACCCTTAAATAAGAGATCCCTGCAAATGGGTAAGTTGTGGAAACCATAGAAGATATAGAACCATCTTGGAAAACTGAAAACATATGTATTCCGTCTATTTCAGACTCAAATGCTCACTCGAAAACACCGAAACAAATTTCACAATGAGGATTCGAGAAATCTTAAAAGCAGGGGTGGCCACGGTTCCGGTTCCAAAAAAATTGAAACTGAAATCGAATCGAAAAGTTCTGGTTCTGGTTCCGGTTCCGGTACGGTGATCAAACCGACGGTTCCGATTGATTTTTCGGCGAATCGCATAATTTTAAATTTTAAATTTTGAAGACCGATTTTTAAAAAAAAATATTTGAACATAAAAAATTAAAAGATACACCTAAAAAATTAAAAAATACTTCAATTAAATTTATTTTTTTAAAGACTTGAACATAATTTTTTAAAGGACTTGAACAGTAATTATTAAGAGATTTCACAACAAATTTTAAAAAAGGAAAAAAGAAAACCTGACAGTTTATAGGCTAGAAACCGCCGTTGGTTCGATACGGCGGCTCCTAACCAGGACGGGAAACCGCGGTTTCCAGTCCGGGTCGACCGATTCTCTGGAACTGCCGGTTCCGATTCCAGAAATTCTGAAACCGCCGGTTTTGTTCTCACCGAGTTCGGTTAAGTTCCGGATCGGTTCGAAAACCGACGATTCCGGTTTTCCGAAACCCGTGAACATAATTATTAAGAGATTTCACAACAAAATTTAAAAAAGAAAAAAGAAAAACCTGACAGTTTATAATGGCTAGAACCGCCGGTTCGAACCGGCGGCTCTAACCAGACGGGAAACCGGCGGTTCCAGTCCGGTTCCGACCGATTCTCTGGAACTGCCGGTTCCGATTCCAGAAATCTGAAACCGCCGGTTTTGGTTCTCACCGGTTCCGGTTACAGTTCCGGATCGGTTCGAACCGACGATTCCGGTTTCCGAAACCGTAATATGGCCACCCCTGCTTAAAAGGATATAGAGGAAATGAAAACAAGAGTGATTATGACTTTAGAAATGATTTGTCTCTTTCTATGTAAATACTTAAAGTTGTTTTCCTTTTAGAATTTAAAATGTCATCTCTTCAATTTCATTATGGAACTACAGACCCATAAGCCATCTAAATAATTTTCGCACAGCAAGCAATTCATATACATTACTTTGTTGAGCATTTTCTATAATCTTGAAAGGCTCGGTTCATGAGTAGTATCAGATATTTAAAATTTGACCAATCTCCTCATGTACTCAACTTGTATCTCCCTTCAAAGCTCACTTAATTACTTGTAACCCAAGCAAAAAGATTTCATCAGACTTAATTGACTTTAGAAGAAATGAAGGACGGTCCTTAAAGGAGTACTAGAGCAAATTCTAGAAAATAATAATACAAAATAGAAGATCTAAATGTAGAAGGAGCTATTAGTGTCATGACAAAAAATTATAATTACGTTCAACTGATTTTACTATAGCTTACTTCAATCATCCCTCCCTTCGTCCAAACAAACAGTTAAGCTTTCGGTTTTTTTCAGTTTGGAACCAGACCCACCTTTTTTTCTTAACCAATCGGCAATATCAAAAATTAAGGAACATATCGTCACTACTGATGTGTCACATGTCCTGCGAATTAGCTTTACGGTAGTTTTACCTATTTGGTGGTCGGTGGAGGAAAAAAACATGTCAGGTGGGCTGTTAAAGTATGAATAACAAGTTCATTAACTGCTTCCAAATTTATTTGGACTTGCAACTTTTCATTTTTCAATTATTCCACCGCTCATTCTCATTTCATTTGCCACGTCTGCACATTACATTTTTTTTTTCTTTAAAATTTGTTGAATAAATTATCTTTCCCATTTATTGATTGAGAAATTTTTATTAGATGCTTCATTGAAAACTTCACAAAACCTTTTTTTTTTTAAGTTTGGTTACTGAATGACTTGAACAGTGATAATTGAATGGTTTTCGATTTTGGTTCAATCTTTAGAACCGTTAATTGAATTTTTTTTTTTTTGGTCCAAAATAGATGGTTTAGTTTGATATCAAACCATCTTTACAATACTGAATTTTGATTGATTCATAAATTTTTAACTTTACAAAGTTGGAAGTTTGATATTTAACCGTCCGAATGATTAAAATTTCCCTCAACTTTCTTACTTTAATTATTTATCACCTTAAATTTTACGAAACGCCTATCATGCACCTTAATTTACATAATATCAATATAGTATTTATAACATTGTCCACAAGTTATCAATTTATAACATTGAATCTTATGTAATTATGTGTGCATTATAATATTAATATAGTATTTATAAGATTGTCTATAAGTTGAATTATTATGTGCAGGGGTGAAGTTAGGATTTATATTTAGGGAGACAAAAATTATAGATTGGCACATTATATTTTCTTGAATTGCCAAAGTTTGAGCCTACAAATGATTTTTATATTTTTTAAAGAGCAGGGGGCAATTGCCCATCCTTGTGTCAACGTAGGTTCAACGGTGATTATGTATAAAGTCAATAAATATATATTTCAAAAATAAAAGTCCACAAATGTGAATTATTATACATAAATTTATATGTGTAGCGCTATATTTCATTATTATATTATGACACAATTTTAAAATTAAAATTATAAATATAATGTTTATGGTAACTAACTCGCGCTTTAAATGCCCATTGTTCCTAAAGTACTAATTTTAGTGACAATTTAGCTAGTTTTGGTTTCAACTTCAATTTTTTTTTTTTTCCAACCTTATGCTTTTTTTTAAAAAAAAAATTCAATTTGACAGTGGTCTTGGCTATTAAAATAAGTTTCGAACTAAGAGATTACATCTCCTAATTATACAAATAAAAAATGGATTTTCAACCCAAAAGTTTTGGGAAGCTTCAATTAAAAACCAATATTTTCAATTCAATCTCAATTCAAGTCTTTTCTTGTTCAACTCTTGTATGAACTATTGATGACTAATGTGACTTTCTGACCCAACAAAGCGATCTTAAGAGAGCAGGTAGAGCAAACCTCTTGGCTCGCTTCCAGGATGGCAGGATAGCTATGAGTAGTGGAATGCAGAACATGAGAATGAATCGAATCATAAATCGAAAAGAAAAAAAAACTAATCATCAAAGGCCCATTTTGGTGGAATGCTTGGAGAGTTAGAATAATTTTAAAATTAAGCATGTTCACTTAACGGACATCCTAGGATGGGTGATCTTATAGAAAGTTTCACATTTCACCTACAGGATAAAATCGTGCGGATCTTGCCAATCTATTATGAAATGAAATTGACTTGATATAAAGCGGACAATTCATCTGGTGGTTGGAGCCGCGCCTGACTACTAAACTCTACCTCCCACTCATTTGGAAAGGCTTCTTTTATTTGATGCATCTCATCTACCTCTTCAATGATGAATAAAATTCATTCATGTTCAAGAAAAAACAAAAAATCCTGGCCTAAGATCTGAAGTTATAAAAGCTTGCTTTTCATGAAATCATCACCAACAAAGGCATGAGCTTTTATTTTCATTTACATACGCACGTGCAACAACAAGCATTTTGCTAGAATGTTTGGTATTACATATAAACATAAAATAATGTTATTTTTTACCATTTATTAAGAAAAAATAATAATAATTTTTAAAAATTTATTTTTTGATTGGCTAAATATATGGATATTTCTAGATATCCAGAAAGTATATATTGCTAATGCATAAGACAAATACATTGTTCAAATTAAATTACTAGAAATGAACGGCCCAGCGGGTGTTACTTAGCCACCTCTGCTTTACAAGGCTATTTCTGTAAATATACACTACAAATTTTAGACTCATTCGTAAAAGGCCAAAAATGAAAAATAAAAAACAAGTCCAGAAATAAAATAAACATCTTAAAATTGAGCTCCTGCAAAAGTCTGACCAAATTGCCAACCAGCAGGCACCACGTTATAGCTTGTCACAGTTCTTCCGTCACTGGTTGTAACTTGAAAGGATAGACTCTGACCATTGAGGTAAGAGTTGCTTTGCCAGTTTTGACCCCAGTTTCTTGACATGGCTTGCCAGCCTGTTTTAGACCCTTTGATTGAAACTGCATGAACATCTCCGGCGCCGCCGACGTTGGTGATCAACACTAGGTTGAAGTACGAGTGACCGTTAATGGTGAACCTTATTCCTCCCTTCTTCACACATGGCACCCTAAGAACACCAAGCACCGACATATAATTAGTTAATTAATAAAAAAAAAATTTAATTAGTTTCAATTTTCTTAAATTTATCAGATACAGTTATTGAAGAGGTAGTTAAGTTTACTATAAACTTATACCTTCGTAATTTTTTTTCCGTGCACAGATCGATTTTAAGTGAATACTTCATTGCTTTAGTTTAATGAATTCAAAAATATTATTTTTAATATTTTTTTATAAACCACCGGTATTCAGATCTTATCCGTGCATCTCATTGAATAGAAAAAATATTATTATTATTATTATTTTAAGAAGTTAGCTCTTATTTTTATCAATTGAAATAATTTGATTGAATAGTATTTTTGTATTTTTGTAAGTAAAGATGTTTAATTCTTTTATCAAGTGTGCTTTTCAGGCATTTAATTTATTTTTTCATCTTTAAGTGGTTCAATTTGTTTATTACATCAACCAAAACCTTGTATTTTTTTAGAAAAATGTAATTGGATCCCTAATTTATATTCTTATTAACACTTTTATAACTTTATGTTTTAAAAAATATAACGACACTTAAACTAACTATCAACAAGTCATTCCTTCCAAAAAGTTAGCACTTTTCATAATAAAATGAGCATATTTCATCTAAAAAGTGTGTTTATTTAGCGTTAAAATACTGATTTTTTGGGCGGGAACGATCCAATAGTGAATTTCACCAAATGTTAAGAACTTTAGAGTAATTTCTTGTAAACAGAGGTACGAAAATATTAATTAGGATAAAAGTAAGGGAGAAGTGTATTTTTCGCTTTTTTTGTTTTTTTTAAGGAATGCTTTTTAACATTTATTACCTTCTGAAGGCAACAGGCACAATTCCAGCACGGTATTGGGCGATTTGCAAGAAAGCAGGCTCAGCTAAATCGAAGTGTTGGAGAGGAGGATTGCACCAACCACCATTATTGTTTGGCAGAGCAGGATTTGGTGGGCAAAAATTAGTAGCAGTAACAGTAATAGTGCCAGAAAGACACCATCTTGGGTCATCATCGCATCTCATTTCATAACAAGCACCACAGCTCAATCCATTGTTGAACAAAGCTGTGCTTAGAGCTGCTGTGTTTGTTCCATACCCTTGGCTGTACAAATTCCCATACCCACACGCTCCTCCTATTAAAGGAAAATCAAATCCTAATTAACCTAAATTCAATAGTATTATCAGTAGTTAAGAGTAACTGACTTACCCATTGTGCCGGATGCATCTCCACCGCCATAGAAGGTGGCATGAGCACTCTGCCAACCTCCATAATCAGCTAAAATGGCATGAAGGTGTGAACTGAAGAAGCAGAAAAAGAGAAAGATAGAGAAAGAAAGTTTCTTTGCTTCCATAGGTAAATTGCTAACTTTATTACAATGTTGAAGAGCTTATAGAAGATAAATTATAGTTTACTAAGTTGGGTTGTTGATGTTGTTGTCCAATGCATGAAGAAAGGGTATGTATTTATAAGCAGAGCAAAGAAGGCAAAAACCCAGTAGGGGGTGGGGTTTTAAGTTTTGAAAGGAAAGACAAAAGCCACAAAAAAATTGATATAGGAAAATCAAATTTCACATGCACTTGTTCCTTCTGGTTACGGATTACCAACCGCTAAGCTCACCATTTGTGGGCCATAACACACCACATGATGCATCTATGTACCCTTTCTTGCAACTTCATAAATTAGTATAGTTTCTTTGTTGCCACTAGTTTTTGGCCATTTGGGTTGGGGTGCTATTGTTTCTTCCTTTTTTTTTTTTCAAATGTAAATTTTAAAATTTTGATTTGCTTTTGGTAGGGGGCATGTAGGGTATGGTGTCTCAATTTAAGGTCATGTAGAGATGAATTTGGCCGTAATTGAAAGAGGGGGTAGGGTAGTAGTAATCTCTTGCACATGAAAGGCAATCTTGTTTTGTAATTACCAAATTGGTTTAGAAGCTTTTTTGGATAAAAGAAAACATTTTCAATGTGAATATGGCAATTGGCAATAGTTGGAGTTATGAATAAAATGTACATGGTGAGAATGGGAAGTGAAGACTTTGGAATTTCTTGCATGTTCTATGTGTATTTTTAGAAAAAGAAAAAGGTTTTTCCACAATTGATTTCATTGTGTTGGATATCACTTTAAAGTTTCAATTAAACTCAAATTCACTTAAAATGAGAAATCAAAATATTAATTTAAATTTGCATTTGATACCATAAATTAATATATTTTTAAATAATTAGTTTTTAAGAATGTACTTTATACATTGTCTATATACTTGTTGTTCATATTGTCATTTAGTATTTTTCAATAACAGATTTAAATTTAAATATGAGAATACTTAATTGAATTTATATCAGTCATTAATAATATCTGTCCTTTTTATTAAATTTTGTTATTAAAATATAAAATTTTATTTTTAATATTATATACAAATATATTATCTTAATAATTGAATTTAAATATTAGTCATTTAATGTTGTAATTTTTTTGTAATGTTAGGATTATTTAAATTTAAATATTAATTATTTTAATATATATTATCAATTATAAAGTATTAGCAATTATAATAATGTCTATTATCAATTAGACATTATTAAAGAACTAATTTTAAATATTAGTTCTTTAATAATGTCATTAATCATGAGATAGATATTTTCTAACTCAAAAAAGAATCTTTAAACGGAAGAAAGTGGTTGCAAATCTTATGTTTTTAAATTGTATCTTGCACGTATTCAAAATAAGTTCTCTATTTTTAATTCAGAATACACATAAATACTCATTGAATTTCATAATCCAATCTTAAAATGTGTAGTTTTCTACTTGTATCCAATCTTACTTCTAAAAAATAAGACATTTTGTGTTTAAAATGGCAATTGAGCCCTTTTTTTAATACTCAATTCTAAATAAATTCTTTTCAAAGAAAATAAAATAAAATCCTCCCGTAGTGCAATGTAAACTCCATCGAGTCAGCCTGTTTGCCTCCGAGGGTGAGCAAAGATTAGTCAGGTTTGTGGATGGTTAAAACGGACACGGACCTGGATACCTCGTGCAAGTATTAAAAAAAGAAAATAAAATTTATTTGATAAATAAATAAACTTTTTGGTGATTTTTTTCAAAGAAAATAAGCATATATAAAGTGTTATGGTAAGACAAATTTATGATTCTAATTCCTAAATAAGATTCAATTAAATGTGAATTTTATTCAAATTAATATTCAAGATACTCGAACTCGATTTGATTAGATTAAACTATAAATAAATTTTTTTATTTATAATATTAATTTAAAATTTGAATGAGTTAAAATTGATAAATTGTTTACATTATTAAATATCATATTAATTATATAAATAATTGAAAATTTTAAATTTCCGCATCAACTTAACTCAATTTTAATCAAATTATCAATTTTAAATGGCTCACGAAGCATTTAAATCAATATTTATACCCCCGAATTTTTGAGTATGAAATTATTATTTTCTAAAATTTCCTTTTCTTCTGTGATAATACACACTTTTTAGCTAGCGGAAGAACTCTATATTTTATTTTTTATTTTTTATTTTTTTGAGAGGAAGAACTCTATTAATTTTCTAAATTCGAGGTCTGCCTTTCATTCATATCTCAGCATTTGTAAGGTTGCACCGTCCTCACGTGCATGCTTGTCTAAAAAAAAAAAAAAGTTTCTGTTACTCCCGTAATCAACCTAACAAGAAATAATTAATTTTCAAAAAATAAAAGAAAAAACCTTAAGGGTAAAATAATTAAATAACACTTAAATTTCCAAACTTTGTCATTTTTTGCCCTTTTAAAATTTAAAATATATATACACGTAGCATCCCCTGATTAGTTCTATCATCTTTTGTTATCACATATTAAGGTTACTAAAGTAATGAAAAATTGGCTGTAACATATATAGACATCCATATACTAAATTAATGAAAAATCTTTTTTTTTTCTTAAACGAGAGTATTCAATACCATTCAGGGAAAAATATGAATAAAACAGAAATAATTTTTTAAAACAACTTTTTATTCTGAAATAAATAAATTAAATGAATTCAAATAAATATTTTCTAGCTGAATTTCCTGTCTCTAATTAGCTTACTATTTTATTCTGTTTTTCGTTCTGCTCGATCTCTTTGCTCTTCTTCCGACAAAGAAACTCGAGCTCCATTATTTAAACTCATTGAATGATTTTTTTTTTTTTTTTTTTTTTTTTACAACTTATTTATTTCTGAAATAAATTAATTAAATGAATTCAAATAAATAATTTTCTAGCTGAATTTCTGTTCTCTAATTAGCTTACTATTTTATTCTGTTTTTCGTTCTGCTCGATCTCTTTTGCTCTTCTTCCGAACAAAGAAAACTCGGAGCTCCATTTATTTAAACTCATTGAATGATTTTTTTTTTTTTTTTTTTTTTTTTTTTTTTTTTTTTTGTTAACAGAACCTCAACTAGCTTCCCAACTCATTTACATAAAATTTTTATAATTGATTGGAGCAGAAGAGTGTAAAAATGAAGACATGAGGTCCTACCATGTGAGAAGCACATGCAACTTCCGGATTTGCGGGCTCTCGAGGCTTAAATTCAATATATTCATGCATCCAAATATCCATTTTCTGAAAAATCATGTCTATGCCTCACCAATCAATTATCTATTTATCATTATCAAACCAAACCAAGAAGAAGACAACCACAAAATATTTCAGCTATCTATAGTCTTATAAGCTAGTTCTCAATTAATTAGTTAAAATATGGTTAGATGAGATTAAGATTCTATCCTTGTACATAATTATAATATCCTGCTAAGAACAGAGTATACTCAATTTTGGTTTTTAGGATCATCAAGATTTGTAAGGAAATGAACAATCTTTCCAAAGATTTTGTGGAGGATTTTGATTCTTGAGGCTATCTAATGAATCTGTATGTACCCAAATGATTAAATAAATGAGTATCATTGTGTAAGGATTTTTCTTTGAAGTATCATTTAACTTTGATTTTTTATATATTTTGATTTTTAATATTTAAAAATTGTTAGAAATTCAGATCTAATCTCAAAATCTAGGTGTGAAGGTTAAATGAAATAATAAATTAAGAAAATTTTAATGTTTTGAGGTAAGCACGGAGAAATAGAGAATTTAGGATTTTGAATTAATCTATTAGGTGCTGGTTTGAGATACGATGAAGTTATCACTATTGAAAAGACTTAATTTTTAGTATCACTCGCAACTCAAACATTGAAATATGTGTCTAAATCTGAAAAAAAAGAAAAAAAACTCAAATTCCACCTCAAAATTTAAGTGTGAATGTTAGAAAGGTTAATAGATTACATGAAGAATGTTTTTCTTTTAATAAAAACAAATTTCTTTGGATAATTTCGCTTTTGTTATGAGATATAAAAATGGGTAAATTATAATTTATTTAAATTAAATATTTGTAAATTTTGGCTTTCCAAATAGGAACTTTAGTGATAATGTTTGAGCACAATGGACTGAAAAAATAAGCTAAGAGTCTTCCAAGTTCCAAAGCTCCCTTCCCAATTCCCATGAGCTTGAGTTGTGTATAAAAAGAGTGTTCAAAACATCAGCAAAATATATATATTGCCAAAATCAGTAATTAGCTCCCTTCAGCTTCTGCTGGAAATTTTGCATTCTATATTCTATATTTGTGCATAATTACATATGCAGCCGTTGCCATTAGGCGACCCTTTTTACATGCATACTTATTACATACTTTCTAGTGTTTTTCTTGTTACGTGAAGGGTCATATATATTCACATACTACAAGATGTTTTCAAGAATTTTTCAAATATTTTTTTGTTAATAAAATGAAATATTGTTGGTGGGAGTGAGACCTATGATCATTTGTTTTTTTTTTTTTTTGGAAAAAAAATTATTTTAAATATTATTATAATCAATTAAGTGTGGTTTAGTTGGTCTTTTGAGAGATATCGAGTTCGAGTCCTCCCGACTATAATAGTTTAAACCAATTTGGTGAACTAAAGAGATAGTTATCTCTGTTCTGTAACTTTTTATCTTATTTCAACCTATTAGATCTCCTACGGTAAAATTGGATAACATGTAGCAGACATTTGAATCATTGAATACAAATCTGACCCAAACATGATTCGGTTAGTTAAAATACCACCCAAACTCATCTTGGACTCGTTAATTCCACTAAAATCGAATTGGATCAGATCGAATGCTTGCTGGGTCAGGTCTATCTATTGGTATTAGTCATTAACAAAAAAATTTAATATTATTGGATGATTGGATTGGTTACAATCACAAGAAGTTTGATAGCCAACATTGGATGCTGATTGAAGCACAGCACATCATTCTGCAATTAAGGAGCTATTATATCTAGAATAGGGATACGAAGGAGTTCTAGTGTTTTCTTCTTCTTTTAGTTGGTTTGGGGCCAAATGTCAGGTTTGGGACCAAATGTCAGGTTTGGGACCAAATGTCATCAGAAATTGAAACATGAATTTATCAGATTTTTAGTGACCGTTTTCTCATTTTAGGACCATTATTAAAAACATTGTCATATTCATTTTCCATACAGCAAACCCTCAAGAAGGCACCATTACAAATTAAGGCTTGTTTTGTATTTTTCACATTTTCTACATTAGTTTATGTTGTTCGGAATACTTATGAAATATGTTTCCTTTGTCTAAGACATTTTTCAAAATATTTACCATAATCATCTGCCATGGAATACTAAATATCATAATTTACTATTTTTATATTATTTTAATTCACAATTGATAGTGAAATGAAAGTTCCTATAGGCCCAATAATCCTCAATTTTGAAACATAATTATATTAAAAAATCTCCAATTTTATCGACATTATTGAGATGGAGTGATCGAGACTCTTTCTCTTTTAACCAAACGTTCAGTTACTCTTTATATGGGCCTTGCAGTACTTGAGTGGCCTCTCACCTAGACACGTTGTCGGCTGAATAAATTTTCCATTTAATGGATATATTGGAAATATTCTGAAATGAACAATGTTATAAAATACTTTTCTATCATTTCAAAGCAGAGTTGTGAAAAAAATTCAAAGTGAATAGAAACTTTTCCCTTTTTCTTATTGATCTGGATCGTTGCTTAAGCTTGCAATTATCAACCTTAATCATCAAGCTCAACTTTTTCAACTTTGTCAATCAATCAACTTTCTCTCCGGTCTTTTTCTTCTTCTTCTTTTTTTTAATTTAGCTAAATCAATCATTAAAGAGAAGAAAAATCATCATTAAGTTTTTTTCTCCGGACTAGATAAATATTTTTAATTATAAATTTTATATATCGAAGTGTTTAATAGATTTAATTTTATAAATTAAAGTATTTAATAAATTAAATTTTATAAATTTTTTTTTATTTTTAAACTTTATTTTTAAATGTGAATTTATATATTTAGCCAAGTAAGAGAGAAGGTTAGGCATAAATAGGTCTTAATGTAATATTTTAGTGAAGCATAACATTTATGGAACTGAAGAACAACCATAAAAGATAATACAAATGACTCAACATTGAGGAACAAATCCAACCGTTGCTTGTATTAGAAAATGATGGACAATTAACTCCTTGAAAATGCTCTTTCTTTAATTAACAATTATCCAAAATTTTCTTCATTCAATTTTATTAAAATAAAACGACAGCAACGTATGACCAACCTGCTGCTGTACTAATAAATATAATAATATTTCAGCCTCATACACTAGGAATTGAATTGGAAATAATTAAATAATCCATTGGACCATTTTCATTTGTTGTTCAACTAGTTACCGTCTCTTTTGCGTTTTGAGCAGCCATCTACCTAGAACGCCATCGTTTTTCGTTTTAGAACCAAGAGCCAACTCTTTTACGATGTCACCCATGTGATGTTAGTCTCTATTTTATGCTTTTTTATATTTTTTTTTTTTCTGCTCTACAGTCTACACCAAATGGCAAATACCCACTTGCGAGCAAACAGATAAGAAGAATCTGATTGGATAAAAAACCGCAAGGCAAATGTAATAAATCTACCCTCTTGAGAGTGGGAGGAGGTTTTGAGTTCCAAGTTCCAACCCAATCTCTCCCTAAAACTTTAAGTGTTTAATATTTTTATTCTTAATGGATTTCTTACGTTTTATTGTAATTTAAAATTATAACGATAAAGCTTAAGGGAACAAGAAAAAAAAAAAAGATCAACGATCATAATTAAACGATCTTGAAACAACAGTGGAAGAAACTTGTTAGGTGGAGAAAATAACAAATGGGTTCCCAACGAAAAAAAGCTTGGGTTTGATTGCTAATCAGTCTGCTGCATTGTTAGCTAAACAGTGGATGTGCCTTAGATGGCAAATCCAACCTCAAATTATGAGATTTCATACAATTAATTATCAAATTTACGTCATATTTGGTATAAATGGAAATGTTTATTTTAATATTTTAAACATATTTTTTTGTGATATAAAATTAACAGATTAAATCACTATTTCTCTTTTTAAATCACCCTGTCTAACTTTACCATTGGAAATGATTTTAATATTTGATGTTTGACAAAAAAAAAAAAAAAAAAAGCAATTTCAAATTTTTATTTTTGAAAAACAATTTTTAAAGTGTTATTTAGCTGTTTTGTGACTTTTATAACCTCTAATCAACATTTTCAATGAAGTATCGTTCCCAGTAACAGTAACAAACTCTAGTTAACACATTATTAACACCCTACTGATGTGAAATTTTGTACGGTTCATGTAAAATTTTATGTTTCTATATTTAGTGTAAAATGAAAATACTCATTTTATTCTTTTCATTTGTAAATGAACTATATATGCAATGCCAATGGAACGGGTGGCGCTGCATGAAAGAAGGGGATGCGTATAGCTATGGAATTCTTGCGTTGGGGATGTTAAAAAAAAATAATAATAATGATATTTCTGTACTTCCAATCGAAACCCAAGTACATTCAGAGCCTGGGGGCTACCCAACCAGACAATTGCTTATTTCCTTCCAACCATTAGAGACCGTTCAGACCATTATCAAACAAGCTAAGAGTAACACAGTTGTTATCAGGACCAGATGTAATCATTTCTTGCAACTCGCGGTCAGATTACTTGTGAACATCCAAATGATTGACAATGAAACTCTCCTTAAAGATGGAAAACACCGAGATAGTTTATTAAAGTTGACACTTGATAAAGGGCATCAACATCATAGCTCAAATGGCAAAGTTTCCACTAAAACACTCTTAAGATGTACAATATGCACAATGTATAAGCAGTCCTAAAAAACCTATCACCATTCATTCAATCTGACCTTGGTACAACTGGCAACTGAACTGAAGACGTAAGTGACAGTGGAAGATGAATGACGAGAAATTTGTAACCTTCAGCACATTGTTAAGCCCAAACTCAGAAGCTGTACATCTACAGGAATTTATTATTATTTTTCATCAGCATAACATGTGTAATCAGAAAACGACTATTAAAGACACACACACATACACACACACACACACACACACACACACACACACACAGATCTAGTAGCATTTCTTTTTCAGCTTCTTAGATTGTAGTGCAGAAAAAAAGAACCAATTTCACCACAAACGGTTGCAGGAAACGAGAAAAGTCACTGACCTTAAAACCTCTGAATCTTAAGCATGTATCACCAAAGCTCTTTAAAAGGTATTGAAGGAAACTTCCATTAATCATCCCAAGCACTATCTGCCGCACCCTCTCCCTTGATATTTGCAGAGGCAATCATGTACCTATACTTGTCCTCGATGTTTATTGATGCGGGCCCTCCGGACTTTGACAGAGCATTCCTAACTTCCTTTTGCAAACCTGCAGCTTCTCGCTCTTTCCTTCGTGCAACCTAAAATTCAAATAGCAGAAAGAAGAATAACTGAAACATTTTGAGTGTAGAACTTACAATTATACTTAAAAGAAGAATAACTGAAACATTTTGAGTGTAGAACTTACAATTATACTTAATCGTAATTTGTAAAGAAGGATTTAAGACTACTGAGCACAAGGTTTTGCATGAAAGGAAAGATATAGAGGGGGCAAATGCGAATAGAAAGCAGATATACAATTCATCAATATGTATAACAAGAAATCCCATACCTTCCCAGTTGCAAAGGCCACTGTGTTCCCAGCTTCTGCATCTGCTATTGCTTTCTTTATTTGTGAGACTAGGAACTTGAGCATGAAGATGTACTTGTCAAGGTTGAAACAAACAAATATCTAAAATAAGGAATCATTAGAAATAAGCAGAAAGGAAAGTGGAATTTACCATATCACGATCAGTGTAAAATGAAGTAGCTTGGCCTGCTGATCCTGCACGTCCCGTCCTTCCAATCCGATGTACATAATCTTCCATTGTCTACAATTGAGGCAGCCATAACTGAAGCTTCAGGTTTGCTATTTCAGAATGACATTAATAGTGACTGAAATCACCAGGCTATTGAGATGCTAACATATCAGTAGCAGAAACCATGATCATGAACTGAGGTCCATGATCACGATTTGAGTTTCAGGCCATGATGTACCCCATTACATAGGCTTTGGCCAGAGTTGACAAAAAATTGCAGAATACTTCTATGATCAAGAAGATCTCTACAAATGATATTATGCATTGCTATATTGGCAATCCACTTACCAAATAAAATTCCCAAGCTTTCCACCATCAGTAAAAACAAAGAAAATAACAATAGTCCAGCCTGATGTTAGTGAAGTTCAGATAAAATTCAGTGATAAACAATTTTCTTCCAGAAATACCTTTGGAAGATCGAGGTTAATTACATGAGCAACTCCTGTGACATCCAATCCACGAGATGCAACATCAGTGGCAACCTGCAAATGAAAGTCCAATCAATAAAAAATAGACAAAGTTGAATCCAAAGAATAGAAGGAAGTCCATGGCATAATTCTACTACACAATGCTAGTACATTTTTTTTATTCAGGATAGATACTATAATCAATTAAAAAGCACAAGGTAGTTAAACACAGGAACTATACAAAACAAGCACAAACACGCGCACACAGAGAAAAAGGCGGACCAATGGACATGATGACTTGACGCCTAAAATTTAGACTCTAAAGATCAAGGATAACAGAAAAATAAGAGACAGCCTGTGTACATCAGGGTTCTTTCAGAAATTTCCAAGAGGGATGATGGCATTGACATGCTACAAAATTGTAACTTTGAACTTTGCCTGAAGTAATACAAGATAGCAACGCCATGCTACAACGAAGACTAATCTATTTCATACTATATTATGCATGACAATCACTTATATGGGCTATATTTGCAAAGCAAACATCAAAGCACGTAAGCAGTAGAAATTAGAATACCAAAATACTAGTAGAGCCACTCCTGAAGTCATTCAGAGCAGCCTCCCTTTCACTCTGACTACGGCCACCATGCAAAGCGACTGCCCGTAAGCCTTGTGCCACCAGAGCTTCAGCAACTTCATCACACCTTGTCTGATTGCAAACCCATGTTCAAGTATAAAGACTTTACATAAGAAACTTGCAAGAGTAAGGAATAAAAATACACTATCTCATAGCAAGTTTTGATATGAAATTAAAAAAATAAACAAATAAAAAGAAATACCCAACATATCATGTCTTGCTCTCATTATATCATTTTCCTTCAAAGAGAAATAATACTAAATTAAAAAGGAGATTGCATGACTAAAATAAAAGAGTCAAAATTTAGGGTGTACATGGCATATTGAGTTATCTAAATGATTTTCCATATGGATACATATTTAAATCTTTCTTTACTCAGTATCCTGATCAATAAATGCAAATGCACAATGTCAAAGCTCCTTCCACCATTAAGTTTCCCCTAAACATTCAACGGTTGCTTCATACCTTAATGAACAACAAGTTTTTCACAAAACAGGCTAACTTTATACAAAAACATTACTACCCTAAATTTTTCAGTGAGAAATAAATGATGAAATCCATGCAATAAACACGAAATTATATGAGAACAAATATAGCACTTACTATACCTTCCTTTCCACAAACACAACAGTTAAAGGAAAGGGGTGACCAGATCTTTCGGCCTGAGACGCATCCTCCACAAGAAAAGCCAGAAGGCAATCAATCTGCACGAGCACACATGTCAACTCAATTGACAAAGGATGGTCCACATTCAAGAGACACAGATGTGAAAAGTAACTGTGAGTCAAATAATTCAGTTCGAATTAACTTTCAAGTTATGAAAATGACAAAACCAAACATGTAAATTAAAATTCACCAGAAAAGGAATTTTTACTGCGGAAATTTTTACAACTATATGAACCCCTTCAAGCAACACATATACCATAATGTTCCTCCAGCTAAAAGTTTGTCAGCAAAGAGAACCCAACTTCTAGCTTAGGAATCTATCTCTATTTTTTTTTAATTTCTGAAACAAAAGACATTTCAAGTTGAAGCACTGCTACAATGAGTAAAGCAAATTTGTAGGTGATCATGCAACCCACAAATTGACAAATTCAAACAAGCCCAAGTTCCTCACTCCTAATATGACTTGCAAAGAAAAACAATATGCTACAAATGGAAAAGCAACTAAATTAAGAGCTTCTAGCACCATAAGCGTAATAAAACATTTTGTGCCAATGCATCAATAAGAACTTACCTTCTCATTTTCAGAAACTTTTTTCAGAACTTGAGATACATTTGCTGTTGGGCTACTAACTTTTCCAACCTTAATTTGTACAGGGGCAGTTAAGTACTCCTGAAATTGAATGGAAATGAGATAAGTTACACATATATTCATTATGAAAAAATGAATTAAGAACTCTAACTGCCTAAAAGACTGCTCTACTCAAAAGAATTGCAGAAAGTTTATCGTACAAGATAGAAAAGATTACATAAATGCACACAACTGGTACCAGACTTTTGAATGTTCTGATACTATAGCTAGAAGTTTTCAAAATAAAACATAGACCACCAAGGATATGAAATGATGGAACATTTCATGTGCATTAGAGCTACTGCTACAAAACTACACAAACACCTCAAAACAATGCCACCAAACTTCTAATCATTCAACCTAATCAAAGTACACTTCAGAATTATTTCTTTGAAGTGAGATCTTCAAAGAATAAGAACTAATTTACTGCAACTTGAAAGGAATCAGAAACAAACAACGTTTATTTCAAGGTATCCTAATTTGAAGTTTTCCAAAAGACCAATTCAAAGTAGTATTGTACAAAAATATTAAAAAAATTAAAAGAAAAAAAAAAGCTTGAGCAACAACTCCAAGAGACAAGGCTTTATATATGACTCTTATCTCAGGTTGAGGCAACCTGAAGTCACATCAGCTTGTGCAAGACATGAATTAGAAACAAGGGAACCTCGTTTTACAAGGCCGTAAACTTTTATTCTGGATAGACAGGCACTAAACGTATCCACACTGCACACTAGATATTGTACTCCAAAGAGAAGGATTTGATTTATTTAATTGTATGCATCAGCATAGTACATTAACCTCAGATCTCTTATGATATCCCACTTTCCACACCCATAAATTGCATCACGGTGTAAGGCAAAACAAAAGGAAATCTAACCTGGGTTAACGTTTCAATCTCCACAGGCATAGTTGCACTAAACAGCAGAGTCTGATGCCTTTTTGGAAGATTGTGCAGTACCTGAAACAATATCAAACAACTAATGCCATCTTCTCTAATGTTACACAATTTATCATATAAATTCAAGAATCAATCACTCCACAGTGAATGTGCTTATAAAATAATGATGCATTGAAAAACAAAAGAGTGGGAGACACATACTAAGTTTTTCCAAAATGTAAGAAGTTAAAGGGATGAAAAAGAAAAAAAACGAGTCATAAAAAATGAAGCATATGCTCAGGGGAAACTTAAGCGTATCAAAGCTTCAACATTGGTATTTCGTACTTCTTTTTCAAATCTGAAGTAAGGTTTTCCTTGAGTTTTCACATGTAACCAATGCCCCTAAGATTTAGTTAAGAATGTTCACTTGTGAACCTAGTCCCTATTGATTGAAGTCCAAAAAGTGGGACATACGGCTATTAAAAACAAAAACCAAAATCAAAAAGAAAAGTTCAGCTGCATGGTCAAATTTATCAGCCAACAAATATGGATATGCGCAATACTCGGTTTCTATCTGAAAATTGAACCAAACTGACTCCTTTCAGTCGGATTCAGAAGTTGTTTTAGAAATTCAGTTACCAATCGGTTTAAATATAGAAAAAGGTTCGGTATCGGTTTTGATTCGGTTATCATATATATAACTAACAGAATTTATTTATAAGCTCAAAAAGCTAATTTGATTTGCATAACCGAATCCAAACTGAGCCAAACCAATTCAGTTCAGTTTGAATCAGTTTTCATACCATTTGGTTCCCATAAAACTATATTCAGTTAGACTGAAACCAAGCTAATTCCGTTTGGTTCAGCTTGGTTAACCGAATGCTCACCCCTACAATAGACACCCATGCAACATTCCAGTAATAAAGTTGCAGCAACTTATACCTCTCTAATTTGTGGTTCAAACCCCATATCAAGCATTCTATCAGCTTCATCCAGAACAATAAACGATATTCTAGAGAGGCAAGTGTTTCCTTGTTGTAAATGATCAATGAATCTTCCTGGAGTAGCAACAATAACATCCACTCCTGCCCGTAATTCAGATCTCTGTCATTGCACCCAACAAGAAAGTCGAGCAATGCATATTAGGCAACTAAATGGTAATAACATACTCACATAGCAAAGCAAGAACATTAGAACAAAAATGTTGAGTATAAATTCCTAGACAGAAGAGAAATTTTGTTTCAGGATTCACCTCTTACAAGGACAGATTTCAGTAAAACCACTTACAACATGAGAAGTGTTCTCTTATTCTACCTAGCCTTGCCCAGACAAATGCCCAAGCAAGACATGGAGAAGAACTTCCAGTTTCTCATCTCATAATATTCATAGAGAATTAAATCAACCATTGGAAACAGGATTTACAATAATTTAACCTGCTCAGCTATGTTTGTTCCACCAACAACTATTGCAGTTCTGAAGTTCTCAAGAGATCTACTAAAACATTTCACCTGAAAATATACAGACAATGTGAATCAACATGATGATTTATTGACTGCAATAACAGCTTAATATAAAATTACAAGTATATGACCAGACTAGTACATATAATTTCTAATTCATAGTTACATTGTTCTCGTTTGTGTAAAATTAGCTCCCACACCTCTTTTTCAATCTGTTGGGCAAGCTCTCTTGTAGGAGCCAACACCAATGCTAGTGGTCCATCACCTCGCTGAATGGGAGATTGAGCCAAGCAGTGCTGCACATTGAAACAAGAATCTCATTGAAAAAATGCGAATAAAAACATCTTGTTCATAGAAGCATCATATCTAATATCATGAAATAAAACCTGTATCATCGGAATAGTGAATGCAGCAGTTTTGCCACTACCAGTTTCAGCACAACCCAACAGATCTCTTCCACTAAGAGCAACAGTAATGGCCTGAGCCTGTATGGAAGTCGGCCTACTATATCCATGATATGCAATATCCTTCATGATGCTCGGATGCAAGCACTAACAAGAATTAAAATATCCTTAGTTTCTAAGTTGGTTCATCATAATCAATCAATCATACTAATCCAAGAAAAAATATGATTTAAATCAGCTAAGTCTAAAATACGGAGATTACCATATCTTCAAACGATTCAATTGGTGCAGGTGCTGGAAGGGAATCCTCCGAAGCAACATTAACTTCAACATTAAGCCGCGTACGAACATCTTCAATCTGCATGCAAATGCAACACAACAAAATGATCTAAGCACAAAAAATCGATAAAAGATACCAGAAACCAAATTATAGTAAACAAAAATTTAAAGGTAAGCAATTGAAATATGGAGCAAATGAGAGGCATTTGTTTTGCCAGATAAAAAGCGAAATTAACAAAATACAAAAGCGTGGTTCTAAGAACTGGCAAGCAATTGGAGAAAACGCAAAATGAACAAGAAAAGAACCCTAGAAATGAGAAAATTCAAATCGATGAATAGGTTTAGCTACCGAAACGTCATTTTTATTCCGTAACAAGTCAATAGAGAAACACAAATATCTCACTCCAAACCACCAATAAAAATGTATCAAAGCAGTTGAAAAAGTAAAAAGCGAAAAAACCTGTTGAGAGTTCAAGCGAAGAACGCGGTCGGAAGGATTCCACTGAGGAAAAACAGGTTCAGGAATGGACAAGGTTCTCGGCGACTGAAAAGCAGTGGAGCAGGTCCGGCGAGAGGCATTGGATAAAGTAGGGAGAGAGTTCCAATTGGAAGTTGGAGAGTGGAAATTTGAACAAGATGAGGAATGGTCGAGATTAGCGTTCTGATCACTGTCTAGGGTTAGTGAAGAAAAAGCTGTGGTGGTGGTGTTGATAATGGTAGTAGAGGTGGCGGTAGTGGCGTGTGAGCTTGAGTTTCTAAGGTGTGGAGGTACATACGACATCGCTTCGAGTTGGTTTAAACAGTTTTTACACCAGCAGAAATACAGCAGAGTGAAAAATGAGATGAAGCCTCGAACAGTGATATGAAGTGGAAGAAGATGATTGATGCTTAAGGGAGTACTAAATTTACGCCACTGTGACAATCAGATTCAGTGATGTTGTACTCGATAACTGACACGAGTGACGAGGCTTGCGTATTTCTGTAACGTTTTTGGCCCATGTCATATGGGCCATATCAAGCCCACTATAAAAAATAATTTTTAACATAAATTACTATTTATCCATTTAAATTTGACCAAATTAATAAATTATTCCTTTATTTTACAAAATAAGTAAATGGTCATTAATATTATTTCATTTTTAGAACCAACAAAAGTTTCTTTTTCGATTCATTGGCTTTACATATTGTTTTACCCTCAACTTTAGGTTTTATTGTAATTTCACTCTCCGATTTAACTTTTATGTAGATTTCACTTTAAATTTTAACTTTTTATTTACAATTTCATTTTAATTTGACTTTTATACTAATTTCACTATGAACTTTAATTTTTTATTAAAATAACACTCTAAATTATAAATAAAAAATAGGTTCACTCTTAATCTTGGATTTGGATTAACTTAATATATTTGTTTGAACGAAAGAATTTGAGTTAACGGGATGAATAATTTCTATTATTATTTTTAATATTTTTAAACTTTTTCTTTAATTCATAATAAATAATATTTAAAAATTAATTTTTTCATACATGAATGCTTTTTTTAAAAAAATAGAATATAATTATATCTTATATCCTACTTTGATAAAAAAATGTTAAAATTTCTAAAAGTTTAGGAGTTAAATAAATTGATAGTAGCTTTGTTTTAGATTTTATAATTATTTTAAAATTTATATTAAAATCAAAACCATAATATAATAATTATATTCTAATTTAAAAAAAAAAACGGGAGATGAAAATTCTTCTATATTATTTTTAATATTTTAAACTTTTTTCTTTAATTCATAATAAATAAATATTTAAAAATTAATTTTTTCATACTATTGAATGCTTTTTAAAAAAAATAGAATATAACATTATGTTTAATGTCTTTTATATCCTACTTTGATAAAAAAAAAGTTTAAATTTCTAAAAGTTTAGAGGAGTTAAATAAATTTGATAGTAGCTTGATTTTAGATTTATACATTATTTTTAAAATTGTATATTAAAAATCAAACCATAAATATAATAAATTATATTCTAATTTAAAAAAAAAAAAAAAGAGTGATGTATCAAGCAATAATTAATCTTTTAATAATTACGTTAGTTATCATAAAAGAATGAATTTAAAAATATTTAAAAAACACAATGAATAAACAGAGATTGTCATTTACTATTTAATCAAACTCCCTCGCATTTACACAGAATATATAACATTGTAATCTAAGCCCAAAGGTCAAGAGTAAATCTATTTTTGATTGTACAATTTAAGCGTCTTAGATTATAATTTAAATGTTATCTTGCAACAAAATATCAAAAATTCATTGGTAGAAATTGTATAAAGGCATAAATTGAGTTGAAATTTGCAACAAATAAGTTTAAAGTTTACTGGGAAATTGTTGGAGTGAAATTGCAACAAAAAGTTAAAGTTTACGGTGAAATTGGCATAAATGTCAAATCAAAGTGAAATTGCAACAAAATTTAAAATCGAGGGTGAAACAATATATTAAGCCTCGATTCATTTATGGAGTTAAATTCCTCGTTCAAATTTGTATCTCTGTTTGATGATATTATGCATGGAGTAGATATATCATCACAAATTCTTCAAAAGAAATATTATATTGAAATAAGAACTAAGAATTATTAAGAGTTATTGAAAATAAGTTAAAATTTAATAAAGGTACAGTAAACAATTTAAAAATTAACTATAATACAAAAAAAAAATTAAATTTATAATTTGAGACAAATAAAAAAAAGATGGAATATCTCTTTGTACCGACGGAGCATTACAAATCCTTTATTTCACATACCGCAGTGGGCTTGCTGCTCTGCTTTTGTATGACATATGCGGGACAACTTAACCAGGCAGTGTTTTGGCTTAATAATATGATTCTTTCCTTCTTCAATAAAAAAAAAAAAAAAAAAAAAAAAAGAATAGGCGAACAAATTTTTCAAAAAAAAAAAAAAAAAAAAAAAAAAAGAGAATAGGCAACAATTTTTCAAATATTTTATTTTATTTGCAGGATTTTATTTTATATTAAAAGCTTTAATTTGTTAAATCTTTTATATATATATAATTATGATATCATATTTTTTAAAAATTTCAAAAACTTGGGTAGTTTGAAGATTCGGTTTTTACTGTCGTTACTATTATTATTATCATTAAATATGGTTTTTTTTTTTTTTGTTTGAAGAGGAAGGATTATTTATTTAACATAATATAATTTTCATTAAATATTATTTATTTAGATAAGCGAGTACATGAAAAGCTCATAAAGAAGTTGTCCGGCTTGCAAAAATATATCAAATTTGTAATATAAAGTAATAATTTTGTCTTTTAACCTAACAAGTTCATTGGTAAAAATTGAAGCTTATCTAAATTTTATGGGATAATTTTGTGAGTTGTTTATCCAATAATTTTGTTTTTCTATCTAATAAGGTGATGTTTAATTAGTTATAAAAGAAAGCGTTCCATCTAAATGAAAGGACTCTATCTTTTATTTTTAAAAATTTTGAATTAAATTTAAATTAGAAAATTTAAATTATATTATAATATTAAATTATTTGCAAAAAGCAAATCAGTTGAATTAAAAATCCGAAAACCATCTAAATCGAGCTGAACCCATTTGGTTTGGACCAAATCAGACTATATTCTTAAAAACAAACTCAAATCCCTCATCCTCTCTCTCCCCGTCGCCAACAGCTCCTGCGCCCTCCCTCCTTCCCTTTCTCCGACCAAACTCAATGGAATCAGACGATTAGGGACTCTAAAGTGCTCTACTCGTCGTAAGAAGTTCAATCCAAGTCCTAATTCACACGATTTAAGCCTGGATCGAGAGAAAATGAAACTTGAAATATCTTCAGTTTGCGATCTCACTCTCCAGCGAGTTCTTGCCGTTACCGGCTGATTTACGCGATGAAGACGGATTCAGTTAGCTCCTCAGCCCCATGCAAGCAATTCCCCTATGTTAATTCGGTCAACGAAGCTCGCATGTGAAACCGCCATGGATGGCAGTGGTGAAGCTACTGTCGAGGCCATTTTCAGCCAAATGAGACACACCTAGTCCAAATTCATCACGGATTATGAGTCCCCATGAGATTTCGAGCATTTTGGTGTATGTGTTGCTCAGTTCCGCAATATTCGATTTTCCAACCACCGTGTTCGACGGTCGGCATTTCAGTGAGCGGCCGGCGAGACTCTGGTGAGGCCATAGGAGATAGAATTCTCGTCTCGATTTGGTCAATGCAACGGTGTTAATGAAATTTCTATCGGTGATCCCTGGGCTTGGATGCTAAATTTCCGATGGAATTTGGTTAAGAGTTTATTGGTCTAATTTTATTGTTTCGGTTTAGTTAAGCTAAATGTATAGCTAAAATAGAAATTTACTAAAATGTTAGCTTAGTTGAATTAGCTTATTGATTAACTTAAATCAAAGGGAAAGTTAGATTAAAAATCGAAGATCTAATTACTGTTTTGGTGAGTGTCCACTTATTATCTAAGCAGTTCAAATGTTATGTAAATAATGGAGGATGGATTTTGATTGAGATTAATGCCCTGGTTTATATATTGAATTTACCTCTAATACTTGATTAGATAGCTATTCCAGTTTACAAGGCAGATATCGCAGAACTTTTAGTAAAATGCTTAATAATGAATTAAAAATAATTATATCATTAATGAAAAATAACTAATAAAATTACTAGCACTCGATGATGATTCTTATTATTATTATTAGGTAAAATTTTGTATATAAAAAGAAAAGGAGTAAGTGTTTGTAGTAAAACTAAATGGAAGTTTTTAATTTTAAAAAGGGTAATTTAAACGTTCTATTGTATATTTTTAAAAAATTAATATATTTTAATTATTTTTTTTATCATTATAAAAAAATTAAATGTTATTACTAAAGTGGAATGAAAGGATTACAATGCAACGGAAGATTAGAACCTACACTAAAAAAATGAGGAGCAATCTCATTAGTAGACAATAAAACATAGTGGAAAAAATATCCTCTCGGAGAAAAAAAAAACGGAAAAACGATTTCAAAATTTTTTTTGCAAACAGGTGACGTAATATTAGAAATTATTGACATAATTATGACGGGGACATGTAGCTCAAATAAGCAGTGGAAATGATGGCACGGAGGATTCCGTTAGGGGGGGTAGGTGAGTGCTATTTCTGCACGTAGCTTTCCGGAGTAGTAGGTGAAACTTTAGAATTGGTCTCAACACCATTTTTTTCCCACGCAAACATAAATAATATTTTTATTATTATTATTTATAATATTAGTCATTGTTATATAACGCAATCTAAATTGAATAATATGATAAAATATTATAGGTTTATCATTGGTAAATGAATTTAAATCTATCGAATTATTTTATTAATTATAAAGGTAATTTTTGTTTGGAAGAAATCAAATTACAAATTTTATTAAGAGAAAATTATATATAAATGTGGAATACAGATCAATAAATTTCTATATTTTTGTTTCAAGTTTTGAGACAAGAAAGAGCCTCAAAAGTATAAAGGAGACACTCTTTATTATGGCTAATAGGATATAAATTTTTATTACAAAGGTAATTTTCAAGTGTACTTATTTGAGAATATTTTAATTAATTTTAACTAGTAAAAATATAAAATCTTAATAATTACTTTAAAAAAAATTTAAAACTTGTTTAAATCCGATTTATAGACTTACTCATGAACCAAACTCATCAATAGAAATCTTTAAAAATTATTTCTAATGGAATATAATCATGTTGAATCCCTAAACTAATCATATTTATCTATTTTTTTTAAACAAATCATATTTATCTATTTTTTCAAAAAATCATATTATCTATTAACTTTATATCTTTATATCTCCATTTTAAGCGCCCAATTTTATCTTTTTTCAAACTAATGAAAATATTGAAAAAAAAAAGTTATTCAATGGGAAAATTTCTGGAAA